AAACCTGACAAAATAAAACATTCCTTGTTTGAAACCTGACAAAATAAGTCATTCCTTGTTTGAAACCTGACAAAATAAAACATTCCATGTTTGAAACCTGACAAAATAAAACATTCCTTGTTTGTAACCTGACAAAATAAAACATTCCATGTTTGAAACCTGACAAAATAAAACATTCCATGTTTGAAACCTGACAAAATAAAATATTTCATGTTTGAAACCTGACAAAATAAAACATTGCATGTTTGAAACCTGACAAAATAAAACATTCCTTGTTTGTAACCTGACAAAATAAGTCATTCCATGTTTGAAACCTGATGACAGGCCATTATTAGGATCGTAAGTCAGTGACATTTCAAAATTACATATTTGTGTCTGGATTTGTTTTGACAATTGTACATTTAAAGGTGACAAGGTATAAACTTCTTGTTTTCACAGGATTTTCCAAGTTTTTTTTATATAAAACGTCTAGAGATGCATTTGTCAACAATACAAGTTTAGTTCAGTTGTATATGTGTTACTGTGAAAAGGTATGATCATTACAAATTTATTTTTTTCACAGTCATATGAAGATTTAGTTGCCAGACTTGAACCAGTTATTATGGTAAGTTGTCTTCTTTTCAAACTTCTGAAATCCCCAACAGATATTTGAATTAATAGCTTATGTGTCAGAATGTATTGTAAATTTTAGATTTTTCTGTCAAGGATATAAGAATTTCCTTTAGATTTTTTATTGAAAAATTATTGGTTGAAAATGTACTAAAGGGATTTGGGGGGGGGGGTGAGAAAGGGGGTTGAAGTGCAAGTGTACTAGTTCCACTTGTCTGATGGTAGCTACAAAATGAGTACAGTTTATGAATTTTGGTAGTATACAATTATATTAAAATGATTACGGAGCCTTACCACAGTCCATGTTGACACATCTAGTCACGTTTACAGGCCCATGTTGACACATCTAGTCACGTTTACAGGCCCATGTTGACACATCTAGTCACGTTTACAGGTCCATGTTGACACATCTAGTCACGTTTACAGGTCCATGTTGACATATTCTTAGCACAGTTACAGTCCATGTTGCCACATCTAGTCACGTTTACAGGTCCATGTTGACACATCTAGTCACGTTTACAGGTCCATGTTGACACATCTAG